CCCCGCTTCAGCCTTCAGAGGAGTCGGTTGAGCTTTTGCTCTCTCCTGACCCCCACCTCCCACCCCCACCCTGCTTTGCTGCTCTTTCAAGCCTTTTTTCTACCTACCATCCGAAACAAAAAGGAATTATGGATTTGGTCGTCTCTGAACGCAACTGACACTATTTTTTCCACATTAAATTTAGATCGAGGGGAACTGGAACGGTTGCTGCGGGGTGCATCTTAGGGCTGGAACCTGATGTGTCCAGCACCACTGTCCATTGAAGATGTGAAAGATTTGTACATATTTGGATTTAGGATAACCGGATTTCTGCTGATCAGAGGAGGCGGATTCCTATTTATCGAAAAGTGAAAGCGATCCTGACAGCGGTCTGGGCCATTGAGAAGCTGTCGGGCGCAGTGGATGAACTCTGCTGGAGTGGGAGCGCACAAACTCAGTTGTTGTGGGAGGTAAATTGCACACTGGATGTGGTTCTGACAAGAATCACAGGTCAGAAGCGTGCCTCTGGCATGTAAGATCACATCTGGGTGAAGCTCCAGATGGTGAGAGGCGAGGAGACCCCAAATTCGGCTTATTGGAAGTTTTTCGCCACTTCAGAGATGCAGTTGAGACATTAAAAGGCAGCAGAAAAATTCAAAGCTGTTTTGTCCCAAACAATGGTGTTTATCTATTCGGCTCCCAGCTGCTTTGTTTCGAAGGCCATGCTATCTAAACTCCCCGTGGATGATATGTCAACAAGGGCTTGATTCCCCTTCCACCCCCATCACCCATGTTGGCCAAGGCTGAGAAGAGGAAACTCTGAACTCTGGTGAACCGAGCGAGAGGCGGTAACATCATGGACTCTGGACTCTAGAGGGTTCTGGGGATGGGTTCTAGCACGGAAACCCACCCTCAATGTCACAGACTCTACTGAACCCTGCCCCGTCTCATGTGTTGTGCCTAGTGTGGCCTGGGGTCTGAGCAGGTCAGATTTTGTGCTTGTCATAATGTTGACATGCTCTGATGTTCAAACCAATCAGTAAAATTGAGCTTGTTTTAAAGCAATATTTTTTGAACATTATTTTTATTATTGACATTTTGCAATGAAAAAACCAAAAAAAAAAAATTGTTAATCTACAACGCTCATTGTTTTAGATGTTCCATGCAAAATTCACTTTTTTATTTTGCGTAAGGAAGTTTTTTTCTTCGCTGTTATAGTATGTTTTATGTAAGTCAAGGATACTTGGATAGTTTGACCGGAGACAAAATAATAAACATTTTCACAATATATCAAAAAATATTAATTAACATGAATACATTTGTAGATCATCACATTCTAAATGCTTAGAAAACATAATGCTAACATTTAGATGTTTCTACTTCACACTCGTGTTGTTGACGTCACTCGTGTTTGGTCCAACACATTTGTACAAAAACATAAAATACCAGACAAAAAGATGAAGTACAAAGTACCAGTCATAGCACCTTGTTAAGAAAGAACAGCAAAGCACAATTTAGTTGTGCTAGCTTGTCCAATCTGGCAAAATATCACAGAATTTGAGCTTTTCTTTTGTCTCATTTAGCTTGGGTTTATGTTGGCATTTCCAAAAAAAGAAGTTAAGTGCCCAAAGTTTTAGTCCAACCATGAGACATTTTGGTTTATTTTTTCTTTTTTTTTCATGCTTCATTCTTGAAAAGTATTGCTGAAGCCATGATACACGTATTCTAACCTTACATAATAACCCACCCTTTCCTTTCAAAGGCATTGGTTAAATATATGTAAACTGTCTTTTGTGAGGAACTGTGTCCCAGATTACAAAGCAACATCATGAATGTCGATCATTAATACCTTAAGGTTTCCATGAAACAGAGCATCACAGTGTGAATGTATATGTCCATACATTAGTCACTTCTTTATGTATGTTTTATTCTTCTAGTGTGTAATTAGCGTGTATGTTTGTGCATGCTTTTGTGCTGTATGTAAGGGTTTGGAGTCTAGTCTCTGTAGCTCAGTTGTGGCCCTTGAAGCAGTACACTCCATACAGCTTGTGCTTCTTGTCAGGGAAACCGTAAAAGCTCACAGCAGCTCCAGCGAGACTGCAGCGTCGTCGGGGACGAGAAATGGGACTGCGGACACTGCCATCGGCCAGCCAGCCAATATCGCAGCGATCGTAGCCTAGCAGTTTCCAGGCAGCAAACATCTGTCCAACTTTGGCGATTTGAGCACCATCGCGTTGACAAGCATCGACAGCCTCGTCGTAGGTCAACTTTGATGGGTGAATCAGGTAGTAGAACCGACCTGGGAAGTCAATATAGAAAAGAGGATGAGAATAAAAAACATAACAACAGAACATCCGTTCATCTTCTTCTTTGGTTTGTGTCTAGATATTGTATCATCTTGACAGTAAGGTACAGCAGATAATGTCTCTAGCTGGGAATCAAAGATATTTTTTCTGAACATGTTTTGGAAAATCTTCAATGTGTGGTGAACTGAACTACTGTGATCGGATTTCTGGACCCTATTACACTATATAACACTATTTGAATATGTAGATTATTTATTTTATTTAACCAGGCAAATCCCATTGAGATCACAGATCCCTTATGCAAGGGAGACCTGGGCCTGAAGGCAAGCATGCTCAGAAAGAGCCTGGCTCTGAACCAGGAATCAAACCCTAACCTTCTTGCTGTAAGGCATCAGTGCTAACCGCTAAGCCATCATGCTGTCAAAGGCCAAATCTAGGCTCTTATCTTATGATAACTAATCATTACAAGGTGAAGGAAAAACAAATACTTTAGATCAGCACACACATTATTTTTAGACCAGTCAACCTAATTAAACTGTAGTCCTGGTGAAATTACAGCATATTTTAGCAAGTTTCTATTTATCAAGGAATAATAA